TTGTTTAGGTGTTGGGGATTGAACCTAAGCTTCACTCATGCCAAGCATACACTCTAACACTGAGCTACTTACTCCTCCAGCTCCCAGACCAGACTTTTTTGGTACTGGGAATTGAACCAGGGGTACTTTAGCACTGAACTACATCCCTTTTTATTATTTTGAGATAGGGCTTCTCTCAGTTTCTGAGGCTAGCTTTAAACTTGATCCTCCTGCCTCAGCCTCCCAAGTCACTGGGATTACATCACCCTACCCAGTGATGTCATGGTCCCCAGACCATTTTTTTTTTGTTTGTTTGTTTGTTTGTTTGTTTTTGTTTTCAGTACCATAGATTGAACTCAGGGGCACTCAACCACTGAGTCAGATCCCCAGCCCTATTTTGTATTTTATTTAGAAACAGTGTCTCACTTCATTGCTTCGCACCTTGATTTTGCTGAGGCTGGCTTTGAACTCGAGATCTCCCCAAACCACTGGGATTACAGGAATGCACCACTGTGCCTGTCTCCGAATCATTTTTTTAGGTTAAATTTGCTTATTCAATATTTCCAGCCTCTCAGCAAATTCCTTTTCTACTCCTTAGTCTACAGAGTTTTACATAAAACTACAGAAAGGTATTTTTGGCAATTTGGTTTAGAAGCATACCAAGTGTGGTGATAGCTGAAGCTGTTTATCATAAATTTCCTTGATTCCCTGGTTTGGCTGGAATACTTGCTCCCATATCCAAGGGGTGGCAGCAAAGTACACACAATACTCTCCACATTTATTGGCTTTTATCCAATTCGTAGTTTATTGGGAAAATTTTCATAAAGTTTATTATAAACAAGCCTTCTTGGTTTTAAGCAGACACTGCTGGTTTTGGAGATGTTGCTTGAACTCACAATCTGGGAGTAACCATTTTTGATAGTGAAAAGGATTTGATAAGCAAATTGCCTGCTTGTAAATAAAACTCTGTCTAGAGGACTTGTAGAATTTACTGCTAGGAAAAAACATCCTGGGCAAGGTCTTCTGGAAATGCAATCCCTTTTGAGGGAAGAAGGGTAATTTGGGATGGAACTCTGGGGCACTGAGCCACATCCCCAGCCCTATTTTTTATTTTATTTAGAAACATAGGGTCTTACTGAGTTGCTTAGTACCTTTCTTTTGCTGAGTGTGACCTTGAACTTGCAATCTTTCTGCCTCAGCCTCCCAAATTGCTGGGATTACAGGTGTAGCCACTATGCCCAGCTACAGTAATAAAGTTAAATAAGGGAGCCTGCCATGGCATGGCTGCTTCAGAGGCCAAGGCAGGAGAATCATAAATTCAAGGTCAGCTTGTGCAATTTAGCAAGACCACTCTACTCAGTGGTAGAGTACCTGGGTTCAGTCCACAGAACTGTTTAAAAAAGGAGAGCCAGGCGTGGTGGTGCACACCCATAATCCCAGCAGTTTGGAAGGCTGAGATTGATGATTGTAAATTCAAATTCAGCCTCAGTAATTTAACTAGGCCCTAAGTAACTCAATGAGACCCTATCTCAAAAGGGATGGAGGGGTGCAGCTCAAGGGATGTGGTTGAGTGCCTCTAGGTTCAATTCCCAGTAACAAAAAAAAGTTTGCTTTTTGTTTTTATTCCCCTTACCCCTCACCTCTTCTCTTTTTATTTATTATTTTTTTAATATTTATTTTTTAGTTGTAGTTGGACACAACACCCTTGTTTTATTTATTTATTTTTATGTGGTGCTGAGGATCAAACCCAGGACCTCACATGCGCTAGTCGTGCTCTACCACTGAGCCACAACCCCAGCCCTCTCTTCTTAGTCACTTTCCATGTAAGCTCATTTGACTTGATGGTCTTAACTTTGTAAATTTTTTCTTGCCAGCTTCCACTGGATTCTAGATATGTGAAATTCTCTCAAGACTGGCATATTAGGCTACTGTGAAAATACACAAGCTCAGTAATTAGTGATAAAGCTTAAACATTCTGGCAGTCTTCCCAATTTAATGTATCTTGATTTGACCCCACCAATTCCCCCATGAGACTAATAATTATATAAGTATGAAACTCGCTATAGTCTTTAAGGACCTGATCTATAAGGATCTCAAGAAGTAACTTTCTTATAGACTCACACTCAAGTATCACAGTTTGTAAAATGATGTCACAATTTTTTAAAATATTTATATTTTTAGTTGTAGTTGGACATAATACCTTTGTTTTATTTATTTATTTTTATGTGGTGCTGAGGACGAACCCAGGGCCTCACACAAGCTAGGCCCTGAGGGCTGCTCTACCACTGAGCCACAACACAGCCCCAGCCCATATTGTCACTTTTTTTTTTTTTTTAGTTCTCGGCGGACACAACATCTTTGTTGGTATGTGGTGCTGAGGATCGAACCCGGGCCGCACGCATGCCAGGCGAGCGCGCTACCACTTGAGCCACATCCCCAGCCCCAACATTTTTTAACATGCTTTGGTTCATATCAGATCAGACTTGACTCCTTGAAAGTGTAAATCCTCTCAGTTTATACTAATAGCTATTGTGATAAATAAAGTTAGCCTCTTTTTCTGGTCAGGGCAGCTTTGGGAATTAATTTTCAGTGTAATATAGTTTTCTTTATATACAGCGTTGGTAATTTAATGAGCACATTCTCAGGAAAACACACTTTGAGGGGCTGGGATTGTGGCTCAGGTAGAGCGCTCGCCTAGCATGCGTGAGGCATTGGGTTCAATCCTCAGCACCACATAAATATAAAATAAAGACATTGTGTCCACCCATAACTAAAATATAAATATTTTAAAAAACTGACTTTTTTAGACTAAGCTGTAAAGTTAAAAGACTTTTTTTCTAAAAAAAAAAAAAAGCAATATCTTATGTACTGTTGTTTTTCCATAGTTTTTTTGTTTTGTTTTTAGTTGGACACAATACTTTTATTTTGTTTACTTATTTTTATGTGGTACTGAGGATCAAACCCAAGCACACCACCACTGAGCCACATCCCCAGCCTTTAAATAATCTTTAGTTGTCAATGGGCCTTTTTTTTTTTTTTTTTTTTTTTTTTAAGAGAGAGTGAGGAGTGAGAAGAGAGAGGGAGAATTTTTTTAATATTTATTTTTTAGTTATCGGCGGACACAACATCTTTGTTTTGTATGTGGTGCTGGGGATCGAACCCAGGCCGCACGCATGCCAGGCCAGCGCGCTACCACTTGAGCCACATCCTCAGCCCTCAATGGGCCTTTACTTTATTTATTTATATGTAGTGCTGAGAATGGAACCCAGTGCCTCACACATGGTAGGCAAGCACTCTACCACTGAGCCACCAACCCATCCCCCCCATATATATATTCTTTAATGGTAATTTTATTAAGATTTCATTTACATGCCATAAAACTTATCCCCTTTAAAATTCTCAGTACACTAATCTTTCAGRTTAATTTTAAAATATTTCCATCAACCTGGAAATACACCACATACACATATCCTTTAACAATCACACCCTGTTCCTTCCTCTCCCCATCCYTGGCAACCACTAATCTACTTTCTGTATCTAGATTGCCTATTCTGGACATTACATATTTAAATAGAACTGTACAATATGTGATCTTTTGTGACTGGTTTTACTTATTATAATGTAAATAAAATCATATTGGGTTTTTTTGCTGCTGAATAACAATCCATTATAATTTTTTTATTTTTTATAGTTGCAGATGGACAGAATGCCTTTATTTTGTTAATTTTTTATGTGGTGCTAGGCAAGCGCTTTGCCACTGAGCCCCAGCCCCAACCTATAATCCATTGTATTTTATACCACATTTTGTTTATCCATTCATTCTTCAGATTTGTGGGTTTCTACTTTTTTACTGTTAAGAGTAATGCCTCAGGGCTGGGGATATAGCTCAGTTGGTAAGAGTGCTTGCCTCGCATGCACAATGCTCTGGGTTCAATCCCCAGCACCAAAAAAAAAAAGAGTAATGCCTCAGTGATCTTTCAAACACAAACTTTTGTGTCACATATGTTTTCTTTTCTCTTAGTTGTTATCTATGTTTAAACTCTTTTTTTTTTTTCTTCAAAACTCATTTTTAAAAAAATATTTATTTTTTAAGTTTAGATAGACACAACACAATGCCTTTATTTTTATGTGTATGGTGCTGAGGATTGAACCTGGGTCCCACCCATGCTAGGCAAGCGCTCTACTGCTGAGCCACTATGTTTAAACTCTTAAAGAACTGCCAGACTGTTTTCCAAAAGGATCATACTAGTTTATATCATTTATATCTGTGATAAGGGTTTTAGTTTCTCCATTAACCAGTATCTATTTTTAGCAGCAGGGATTGAACCCGGGGGCACTTAACCTCTGAGCCACATCCCCAGCCCTCTTGTTGTTGTTGTTGTTGTTTGTTTTGATCATACACGGGTTAAGAGTAATGCCTCAGGGCTGGGGATATAGCTCAGATGGTAGAGTGCTTTCTTCACATGCACAAGGCTCTGGGTTCAATGGTTTGCAAATATTTTCTCCCATTTCATAGTTTTGTCTTCACTTTCTTTCTTTTGGTCTCATAATTTGGATAGTTGTGTAAATTCTAGTGCTGTCATCAAAGCACTTAGGGTGCTAAGTCATTGTTTAAAAATGTTCAAGGCAAGCTTGGAATTTAAAGGATAATAATAAATGGAATTTTGTCTAGACTTGGGAAAGACTTATTGTACTGTCCTGGCATAGTGTCTCCCACTGAAAAGCCCCAGATTCTAAGTCTCTGCCATGCAAAGGCCTACTTATAGCTTCTTTCTTCATCTTCGGGGAAATAAGTTGTTTGCCAAGCTTCCCCTTCAAATGCCTTCCTCACATGGCTAATCTTACTCAGTATGCATTCAAATAATTAAACACTTTCAGTGTGAGCCAGTATATTACTAGTATAGTCCTTGTCACATTGAGAATAACATTTCTATTATTACTTAAGGGCAGCTCACCCTAACTTGTGTAAATTCTGCTTTAGTGGTCTTTGAACCTCTAATGAGTTATTCTTTCTTTCACAGCAATGGCACCAGCATGATATCATTGATCATTCCTCCCAAAGACCAGATTTCACGAGTGGCAAAAATGTTAGCAGATGAGTTTGGAACTGCATCTAACATTAAGTCACGAGTAAACCGCCTTTCAGTCCTGGGAGCCATTACATCTGTACAACAAAGACTCAAACTTTATAACAAAGGTAATCTGGAACTGGATCATTTTGTTCTCTGCTTTATCTTAGTTGCATCTTCCACTCGGATTCTGACATGGTGATTTATTCACTAAGGTTTCCTGCAGCCAGCGATCAACAGTGTCTCCAAAGCATTGCTGTTTAACTTTTTATTTATAGAAAGTTAACTTTACTTGAAGGAATAAATTCTACTGAAATACCTCAGGAGAATTTTTAAATTTAGGAGAGAATTCTGAGAGATTTAAGGATATTTCTGCTTTATTTAAATTTTTGACTGGGAACATTTAAAGTAGAGAAATTGTTTGTTATTTGCAGTACCTCCAAATGGTCTGGTTGTTTACTGTGGAACAATTGTAACAGAAGAAGGAAAGGAAAAGAAAGTCAACATTGATTTTGAACCTTTCAAACCAATTAATACGTCATTGTATTTGTGTGACAACAAATTCCACACAGAGGTAAGAGTTTGAACACTTGGGTTGTTTCCACTGTTTGCCCTTTATAAGTAATGTTACTATGACCATTCATGTACTGGTTTTTGTGTGACCATGTTCTCATTTTACTTCATTCTATATCTAAGAATGGAACTGCTGGGTCATATAGTAACTGTATCAAACCTTTTTTTTTTTTTTTTTTTTTTGAAAAGTTGTTAGTTTTCCAAACCATGATGGGAAATAATGGTACATTTTACACAGCTTGCTATTTTTAAAAAATAAAGTAACTTACATTTATTATGACACTAGTCATTCTTCATGTTCAAAGAATGTGCTAACCTGGAGAACTAATTAGAGATAAAGAAATAATTGGCTGGTTAATCTTTCTCTCCTATTTACAGTGATAACTTGCCTATGTTCTCTATATGCTCAATTTTCAGCTGGCAAGTTATAATTTTTAATAATGGAAGTTTTTATGTTGTTTGTTTTTTCCTTTACATTTTCCCATGAAACTTTTGAGTGACAGAGCTGCCATAAGATGAACTTTAATGGTGGAAAGGAAACCTCATTAGAGTGACCTAAATCAGTCAACAGTAGAACAATCAGGAATTCACAGCTGGCTCCCAGTTTATTCTCTTTCCTTTCATTGACCTAGGGAAAAATCTCTACAGTGGAATTAGAACTGACATTTGTCGACACTGTTTACAATAGATGATTTTTGCTAACTTGACAGGAAGTCCGGTTCCAGTTGAATCTTGTTTGACTGCATAGATGATCCAGACTTTTTTTCCTTAGATACCACAGTCTCCTTCTGGAAGAGGCTTTGTTGAAGAGATTCTTAGCCACTCTGTCACTTTTACCTGTATCTGGGTTGATAAAAGCAGATTTTTATTGATTTAAATAGTATATGCTACTTATGTTRTCTGCCTCCTAATTAATTTTTTTAAATCTCAGTTTCTCTTAAGACACTGTTTAATCTTACTGGCTTTTCATATTTTGGCTATAACTGATATGATATCAATAACTAGAAATGATTGAGGTATGTTGATGTTGCAATTTGTGTCCAGTTTAATAAGGTAATTATACATTCTTATAAAGAGTAATTAGCATGCAGAAGGCTCTGAGTTCAATTCTGGAGGAATTAATAATAATAAAATCTTTTTTGATAAGCAGATTTGTTGAAAACCTTAATTAAGCTAACAGACATGATTATGATAATACAAGGCTATTTTTGTTTGGGGGTATTGGGGGTTGAACCCAGGACATTGTGCATGCTGTACATGCTCTCTACCACTAAGATAAAACCCTAGCCTATTTTTAGCGTGCAGTATTCATGTCTTAATGCTGATTATTAAGCATGGTGTGGTTGAAAATAGATTCTTAGTTGGTTAATTTGGTTCCCAGACATTCCTTTGAAGGAACTATTTTCTTCCTTAGTTAAAATGGAATGGATAATAATTCCTTATTTCTAAGTAGATTGCTATCTGGCAATTAGTGATTACCAAGCCTGTAGTTTTCAAAAATCCATTGTGAAGATCAGGTATAGTGTCACGCTGCTGTATTCCTGGCTACTCTGGAGGCTGAGGCAAGAGGATTACAAATTCAAAGCCTATCTTTAACAATTTAAAAAAATAAAAATAAAAAGGACTGGGATGTTGCTCAGTGGTAGAACACCCTTGGGCTCAGTCTCCAGTGCTTGAGGGTGGGGTAAGGAATTCACCATGCAAACATATCTTATGTGGGCTCTAGGACTATATAAACATTTTTTCTTCAGAGAGATAGAAATAGGACATTTAATACTAACCCAGAAGTTTTCTGCATTAAATTCAGAATTGTTAGCCTTGAAACTATTTTGAAATTGTTTCCAGATAATATTAATGTTGCCCAAGACCACAGGAATTAAACATTTCAAAACTAGAAGATATTTTTAAAGATTGTTCATGAGTTTTGTGCTTATGTACTTCTGCTTTGGAGTTGATGGTACAGTATCGTCTTATTTGTTATGATAGATCAAGAACTCTGCTTTTGGGGTTTGGGATATTTGTAACTCTGGTGGATAGCTTGCTTATTAGCATGTGTAAGACCCTGGGTTTTGTCCCTAGCACTGCTCCCAGAAAAAAATAAAAATAAAGTCCAACTTTTGGAAGGTAGATTTGAATGTTAGTGTTCCACAAACTATCTAAATGAAATCAAGGAATAGGAAGAAGTTGAAGTTATAACCCTTGAGTTTGTATTTTGGATGGATTTTTGTTGTTTTCTTTTCTCTCTCTCTCTCTCTCTCTCTCTCTCTCTCTCTCTCTCTCTCTCTCTATTGTTGTTTTTGTTTGTTTTATTGGTACTGAACAGAGATGCTTAACCCCGGAGCCACATCCCCAGCCCTTTTTTATATTTTATTTAGATGCAGGGTCCCACTGAGTTTATAGCACCTCAGCCTCCCAAGCTCCTGGGATTYACAGGCATGTGCCACCTTGCCTTTCCTTTTTATGTGTGTGTGTTGGGGGGTAAAGTACATAAAAAAATTATTATGCCAGGCACAGTGCCACACGCCTGTAATCCCAGTGGCTCTGGAGACTTGAGATAGGATGATCATGAGTTCAAAGTCAGCCTCAGCAAAAGCGAGGTTCTAAGCAACTCAGAGAGACCCTGTCTCAAAATAAAATACAAAATATATTGGTTGGGATGTAGCCAAGTGCTCCTGGGTTCAATCCCTGGTAACCTGAAATAATTTAAAAATTGAATTAAATTTAAGTGTACAGTCCAGTGGTATTAAATGCATTCATGTTATTCAACCATTACTACCATCCATCTCCAAAGTCCTTTTCATCATGTAAAACTCTATAAACAATAAACAAGAAATGACTCCCTATTCCCCTCTTCTCTGCAGTCCCTGGCAACCACCATTTTACATAAGTTACATATTTATAGCTGAAGTCTACAAATTATTCCATAAAATGGTTTTACCACAGTATTTATATGATAGCAAGTTGGGTAAAAGGGCTCATATGTTCTCCTAGGTTTTGTATTGACCTTAGCAAAGCTATAGAGTTTATTATGTGATACTTATGTTTGTTTTTCAGGCTCTTACAGCACTACTTTCAGATGACAGCAAATTTGGCTTCATTGTAATAGATGGCAGTGGTGCACTTTTTGGCACACTCCAAGGAAACACAAGAGAAGTCCTGCACAAATTCACTGTGGATCTCCCAAAGAAACATGGTAATGCATGAGCCCTTTAACTTTGTGTCTAGCAAGAAAGTCAGTTTCTTAAAACAAGGAGCATTTTATTCTGCTAAACATGTGGTTAAGGGAATGGTGACATTTATATTTCTCTGTTTGTTTCTCGGATAGATTGTTTTGTTTTTGTTTTTCTCTTTTACTTTCACCTTTTGTGTTTGGATAACTTCTCAATAATCACCCTTTTGTGTCATAGGTAGAGGAGGTCAGTCAGCCTTGCGTTTTGCCCGTTTAAGAATGGAAAAACGACATAACTATGTTCGGAAAGTAGCAGAGACTGCTGTGCAGCTGTTTATTTCTGGGGACAAAGTGAATGTGGCTGGTCTCGTTTTAGCTGGATCAGCTGACTTTAAAACTGAACTAAGTCAATCTGATATGTTTGATCAGGTAAGTGAGAAATAGATGGATCAATTTTTATGTAAGTCTCTAAGTGGGAATAGGTAAGTCCTCTGTATTTACCCTGGGACATGCATATCTTTTTGAATTTACAGAAATATTTCCCTGGCTTTAAAAAACCTTGCTATGAGAGCTAGAGTGTAGCTCAGTGGTAGAGTGCTTGCCTAGCATCCATGAGCCCCTAGGTTCAATCTTGTAGCACTGCAAAGGAAAGAAAAAGAAAAAAAAAAACTTAGCTCTGAATTAAACAGTAACAGGTTTATAGGCATTTATTTTAAAATGCCTAATTCTTTTCTGGATACTTTCTCTGTTGAAATCATTTTTAGGCAGATTGCCATAATTAGTTTTAAAATGGTTTGATTTCAGAGAACTAGCAGCTTTTTTTTTTTTTTGCTGAGTTATAACTGCAATTAAATCAAGTAGTGAAACTCAGCTGTATGAGACAGACAGACTTTTAAGACCAAAGCATTGCCAGGTGTGGTGATGCACGCCTATAATCCTAGCAGCTCCAGAGGCTGAGGCTAGAGGATCTCGAGTTCAAAGCCAGCCTCAATAACTTAGTAAAGCCCTGGGCAACTCAGCAAGACCCTCTCTCTAAATAAAATACAAAAAAAAGAGGGGGGTTTGGATATGGCCCAGTGTTTGAGTGCCCTGGATTCAATGCCTGGTACCCCCAAAAAAAGGATCAAAGCATTTAAATCCAGAGGATCTTTTGGTTTGTGATAGGGGTTCAGAAGTGAGAGCTGGGGGTGGGGCTGAGGCTCAGTGTTGCTTGCAACTTAATTTTTTTTTTTTTTTTTAAGTGAAAGAGCTAGCAAGGCACAGTGGTACGTGCCTGTGAGGAGGCTGAGGCAGGAGGATAGGAAGTTCAAAGCCAGTTTCAGAAACTTAGCAAGGCCTGTCTCAAAATAAAAAGGGCTGGGAATGTGGCTGAGAGGTTAAGCTCCTCTGGGTATTTTGAAGTGCTAATGTTTTTGTTTTTGTTTTTAATTGTATCAGAGGTTGCAATCAAAAGTTTTAAAATTAGTTGATATATCCTATGGTGGTGAAAATGGATTCAACCAAGCTATTGAGTTATCTACTGAAGTCCTCTCCAACGTGAAATTCATTCAAGAGAAGAAATTAATAGGTATCAATGAAATGCAACTATTTTGCTCATTATATTTGTGTGTAAATGTAGGTACGTACATAACTGTATGTATGAAGAGGCACTGAAAATATAGAAGATTTACCATTTTCATAAAATTTTCTGCCTTCATGGAATCATTTTTAATCTTCCTTAGTTGTTAGGTCTAATAAGTGTTTGTAGCTACAGGAGAAAATGTAATATATAATCATCCCTGAGTATCTGCAGAAGATTCACAATCTTGAATCTTCTTGAATGTTCAAGTCCTTTATATAAAATGTGGTTTAGTATTTGCATATAATCTACACACACCCTCCTGTATACTTTAAATTATCTCTAGATTATTATGTATAATAACCACTACAACATAAATACTATGTAAATAATTGTTTGCTATATATTGTTTAGGGAACAATATCAAGAAAAGGTGTACGTGTTCAGTACAGATGCATCCATCATAGACCTAAGTACATAATACACATAAGCAAATGTAACTTTTTTCTTGAATATTTTTGATCTGAAGTTCATTGAATTTGTGGATAGTCAACCAACTGTATGTTTTATTGTCCTGTCTCTAAACCACAGGACGATACTTTGATGAAATTAGTCAGGACACAGGCAAGTACTGCTTTGGTGTTGAAGATACATTAAAGGCTTTGGAAATGGGCGCTGTAGAGATTCTAATAGTCTATGAAAATCTGGATATAATGAGATATGTTCTTCATTGCCAAGGCACAGAAGGTAAGAAAACTAGAAAATAAGATTGTTATTTGTTACTTTCTTGTGTATACTGGAAATCTGGGGTGGGCATTTGGGGACATGTGGCTGATTTCAGAAGCAACCAGAAGGCAGTTGTATGTACCACTCTCTTTTAGTTGTTTGATATGTCTTTATGGTAGAAGTAGTATACCTGGTAGATGCTGAGTGCATGCTAAACTCTGTAGGAAAGAAGGTTAATACAATGAGTCCAGGAGACGTTTTCTCATCTCATGTCACAGGGCTCATACTTATTAATACATGAGAGCCAGATTAACAAGTTCTTTTTGTTGTTGTTTCCTTTTAATACTACAGAGGAGAAAATTCTCTATTTAACTCCAGAACAAGAGAAGGATAAATCTCATTTCACAGACAAAGAGGTATGTGATTGTTTTCTTTGGTGATAAATGCAAGGAAGCACAGACTCTCAGCCTTGGGAGACCAAACCTCATACTAGTTAGGGAGGCAGCAGGAAGGGGTCAGCTTCTATTTGCCGTGCACTGATCTGATTCCAAGGAAGGGGGCCTAGGAATGGTTACTGCAGATCTTTTTAAGTAATTAAGCAGTCAGGAAAACATTGTTGTTATCCTTGAAATAATTTGAATAGTTTCTGCTRTCTGTGAATCTATACTGCTTTCTTTACTTTTATCAGTTCTTCCACTGCAATGGCTTCTCTGCATTTGATGTGAAGTATTAATCAGAATTTCTCTGCTATTTCAGTTCTGTTACCAGAAACCAGAATTCACTTTATTTTACACACATTTTATACATACGCATAATGAGTAGGAGAATTAGAGTGTTGGAAAGGGGGATTGAGAGGGTTAAGATGAACTTCATTGTGTATAATTTTTTTGTTTCTCATGGTCGCATCTATAGACGGGGCAGGAACATGAGCTGATTGAGAGCATGCCCCTCTTGGAATGGTTTGCTAACAACTATAAAAAATTTGGAGCTACATTGGAAATTGTCACAGATAAGTCACAAGAAGGATCCCAATTTGTGAAAGGATTTGGTGGAATTGGAGGTGAGTAGCAAATCAGCAAATGTAACTTAAAACAAGGGTTTCAGGCGAGGGCCTCTCCTGGATTAAGTAGTTTCAGGTAAAGTGTACTCATGATCTACTTGAGGCAGGTGGCTGCACAACTTGATTTGGATTTTTTTTTCCCTCCATTACTGGGGAATGAACCAAGGGGCTCACACAGCCCTTTTTATTTTGAGATAAAGTTTAAGTTATCAATGCAGGCTTTAAACTTGGCAGTCCTTCCTCAGCCTCCCAAGTCAATAGGAATACAGGTGTGCACCACCACACCCAGCTGGAACAATTTTAGTCACTCTTTGCTTTCTATAATTCTGCAAATGAATGGACTTCCCTTATAAAGCAACCCCTCCCTATTCCATGAACATTGGTACTTACCCTTTGATTTTTTTCTCTAGGTATCTTGCGGTACCGAGTAGATTTCCAGGGAATGGAATACCAAGGAGGAGACGATGAATTTTTTGACCTTGATGACTACTAGGTAGTCGACATGGGTCCGGCAAAATGTGCCTCACCCTCCAGCATCCAACCCAAGGAGCATACCCGTGGTGGAATCCAAACAGATCCCTGCCTTACAATTGGAAYATTTCCAGAACTTAATCCATGAGCATTGGATACTGAAAAGAAAACCGAAACAAAACCAGACCCAACCCTGTACATTGGTTTGTCATGGTGTCAGCGCAGCAGCCTGCAACTAAGTTCCTAAATGCCACTTTGGACTAATTTAAAAAGAATCCCAGTTTTTACTTTTACTCGATGGTGAAATTGGTTGCTCTTGTATTTTATGRAAAAAAAAAATGATTTTTTTAACCTTCATACATAGAAGCAAAATACTTTAACTGCTGTAAACCTTCAAAAGTTAATAGAAGCGAGATCATACTGGTTTGTTTCTTATTTTGATTGGAGAAAAATTAAATTGCTGCATTTCGCAGTGACCCATTTACATGGCATTCTCAGCTTAGACTGCATAAGAAGAAATACATGTGGTGAAATGTTGGAACCATTTCTCTCTTGGTCTCTGTTTAATGTTGAAAGGGTGAGCTAATAGGAGGCAGTTTCAACCTCACTTCCACACACCCCCTCCCCAAACTGTCAGTTTCAAGGATGCAGATTGCATTGTAAAGTCAAACTGACTCATGAAGCATTGAGGCCAGTGCACTGTTTACTTTCATCTGTTTGGCAGACACATTTGTGCCCAATGTTCGGGAGCCCTTTGTATCATTTACTTTAACAAGGGTCCCCATAAACCTAGCCTACTAGAAATCAGTTTGGGATGGATATGGTGGGGCTTCTGTGCTATTTGCTGGGATTGGGAGAAATAAAACAAACAATTTTAGTGGAAGCAAAGAAATTTAAAGATTATTTTATTTTGCTTGGGTCTACCCTTGGTAAAAAGGGAGGTGGTCGTGTTTCCTTGTGTTGGGTGGCATGAGATTATGTGAATGTTTTGATTTTTTTTTTTTTTTTTTTTTTTTTTTTTAATGAACTGCAAGATTTTTCACCGGGACGACAGACAAGACATGTATGACTGTGCATGTAATTAAAAACCCCAGGTGGGGTTTGAGCATCTGTTTCAAATGTGGGACTTAAAAGCACCTCTCAGATGAGAAATTATGGGAGGAGGGTGGGAAGGGAAGGGGTGGGAAGGGATGGGACACAGCTTCTAGCACGATGGACTAAACCATGTTGGATCTAAAAAGTTGGCCTGAAAACCTGAAGCTTATGCTTCATAGCTAGGCTATAAGGTGGACTAGAACCCAGCCCATGCAAGGTCATGGCGTGCTCGATGTGGTGACAGTGAACAAAGTGTATAGGATGTGCCCAGTGCTAGCAATGAGAAAGTGTATACCGAATGGACTTTGAAGGACCAAAGGTTTTTTAAGTCAATTGGTATCACCCCCACAGTGACTAGGGTAGTGGGGTGCATTTGGTTTTCAAATTGGGTACTTTCAACACTTAGTGCCTGACTGCTGTTCTTCACTGACTTGATTCAGTCACTCGTAGCTTTATTGGTCTGAACCAACTCTTTGTTCCCAGGTTACAGACCTGCCTATCGTTCCAATAATCCTGTTTCACTTGAATGAAGGGAGTATGTCTTAAATGTAAAGCTTCTGGTTCTCACACTGTGCTCTGAGGTCCAATTAACTGTCTGTCAATGTATAACCTGATGTCTCAATCCCCAGTGAGGGGCTGGGGATGTGGCTCAAGCGGTAGTGCGCTCGCCTGGATGCGTGCGGCCCGGGTTCGATCCTCATCCTCAGCACCACATACCAACAAAGATGTTGTGTCCGCCGAGAACTAAAAAATAAATATTAAAAAAAAAAAAAAAAAAAAAAAAATTCTCTCTCAATCCCCAGTGAGAAGAGTCAATTCTTTGGTGTTCACCGATGTGGGAGGCTTCACCGGAACAGGCTTTTGCTTTGGGCTCTGCTGTTTGTTTGCAGAACACCCAAGAGCAAGTAAACATGCTCTCTTCACAGCAGTACCTTAGGGTTTTGCCATTGTAAATGGGTCTAATGTGATATGACAAGACCAGAGAAATTGGATGTAAATTTACATTTTTGAATATGCTTGTTGTTTCACATGATACATTTAGGGTATGCAGCTCCTTTTGTAGTTTTTATTTTTACTATTTAAGTTTGGAAATGATGCCAAATTTTTGTATTTCTTTAATCAATGTGTTCTCTTCGGTGATATATATTGCATTATATATTGATGTGTGTATCAATATATACTGGTATGTATTACACTTACACATGCAAACACATAAATAAGAGGGGGTGAAAAACGTAGCCTTTGCATTCTCTATAGCCTCTGCAGAGAGATCTAAGCAGCGAAATCTTGGTGTTGTGATGTACAGAAATGGAGAAGAGTATTAAACCATATTTAAGAATATACTTTGTGTGCTTGAGATTTTTTAGGACTGTTTCCTAGAAAAGTCTGAACTTTAGAGACAGTATGAGAGGTCTTTGAAGTTTATGTCAGATTAGTCATAGCTGATAAATTTGCAGCCTTAGACTTTAGTTTCTTCACTACATTGGCCTGTGCAAAGGTATATTCAAAGGATGTTGGGGGGTCAGGATCCCAAGAAGGTAGGGAGTATGGCTCGGTGGTAGAGCACTTGACTAGCAAGCATGAAGCTTTAGATGCCTATCTAGGCACTGCAAAAAAAGGGGGGGGGATGGACCAAGAGGTTTTAATAGTGATAAAGTAAAAAAAAATTATCCCAATTACAAAGTTGATTCTGCTTGCCTTTGAGTCCTATAATAGAACATCTCTGATAAAAACAGAAACTAGGCCTGAGCCTTTTCCTACTGCTTTCCCCTATCTTGAATAGGTATCTTGTAGGTAGGAGAATAACAAAACCATCCAAGAGCAAGTTGGGCTGGCCCAGTAGAGCAAAGCTTCTAGACCAGGTTAGGAGAAGAGGGTTTCTTTTCCTTCCCCAGAGTTAAAGCTGCTTGGAGCCTCTTCTGTTTGGTAGTTTAGGATGCCTGCCTAGTTGAGGAATCAAGATGGTGCATGGTTTACTTTCTCCAGATTTGAGATAAACTGCCATTACTGGTCAGTTTAACATTTTTTCTGTCACTTTCAGCATACTGTCACCCATTTTCTCATTTGATCCATAAAATCCCCTGATGAAACTAGTCACTCTGAGAAGAGGCAGGCATGCCTGTGCAAGTAGTTTTCCTTCTAATTCATCTTTAGGTGATGTTCTTGAAGCCAAATTGTTGGAAGGCAGCACAGTAGTGCCAGCCGGATGTGTGGGCTGCAGTRCTCACCTGTCTTGGCCTGCAGCTTTTGCCATCTTTTGTTCCCTGGCTCCAATTCCCATACCATGCACTCCTAGACAGGCCCAGTAGATTCAGGGCTGAATGCCAAGGTGGAATTAAAGCCTCATGCCAGCTTCTCCCTTGTTGCCAAGTTGACTGCATGCCATCTGAGACTTCTAGCTTCCAAGCCCCATCCTGATGGGACTGTGCCTAAAAGAGACCTAGGAACTGACTCCAGCCAAAGGGTGTGGAACTGATACTAGAGCCAGTGAAATAGGGCCAGTTATGTGCTCATTTTGTAGGTGTTTTGGTGCCTTAAGTTGCTGAGGATGTGGCTGAACAGAGGGACTGAGGTATGGGTKCGAACAGTTTCAGGTTGAGCCATCTTCAACAGAACTTCCCTGAACTTGCATGGCAGGTTCAGTTAAGAGGCCAGAATAAAGCCCTTTTTCTGGCTCTGCCATTAGCTGGACTTCTGACTTCAAACAAGTCCCTTCCTGTCCAGATTCCCTCTCACTATAAGGCAGGTCCTAAATCTGAAGTGCTTTTCCAGCTGTGAAACTTATCAGGCTAGCATGGTGGGGAGCAGGAGTTTCACATCTCCCTATGAGATGTGACTGACATCCTGACTCTCCAGGAGATTGGCAAATTATCCCATGTCCCTAAGATTCAATTTTTCTACCTGTAGTAATGCTGCCTTGGTAAGCATTAAATAGACAAAGACATATGAAGTCCACGGTACAGTGCTTGGCAACTTAGCTAGGGTTCAGATGAGAGCCTCGGTGAATGCTTTGTTTCCAACTGTAGACTTAAAGTGGCGAGAGTGAGTTTGTGCTGGTGGCCACAAGATGGTGCTAGACCACAATGGCAGTGGAAGAATTTTGCTTCATCTGAAGGAGAGCAGATTTCTAACAAGTTCTAAGAGGTGCCTGGGACAGTATGCTTTGCCCTTAAATTTTGGAGAAATGGAGAGGTCAGTCTACTAAAGAAAGAGGAGCACTTAGAAGTCTCACTGAGTCTTCTCAGTTTTCTTAGCACTCTGCAATCTGGGTTTTGAATTATCCATCTGTAAAATAACTACAGTCGGGGGCTGGGGATATAACTCAGTGGTAGAGTGTTTGCCTTGCATGCATGAGGCCCTGGGTTCAATCCCAGCACCAAAATAGATAGATTGGGTTCAATCCTCAATACCACAAAAGGGTGGGGAGGGTAAAACATTAATTTCTGGTGCTGCTGGGGACCAAACCCAGAGCCATATACATCCTAAGCATGCATTCTACCCCTGATCTACAAGCCCAACCCCTTTCATTTTATTATTTTTGCAATACTGGGGATTGAACCCAGGTGTGCTCTGCCAGTAGATTACATCCCAGCCCTTTTTATGAGATAGAGTCTCACTAAGTTGTCCAGGCTGGCCCTCAATTTTTTGATCATTCTGCCTCAGTCTCCTAAACCACTTAGGGTTAAATGCATGTACCACTGTATCACCACCACCTGCATTTTTTTTTTTTTTCCTTTTTAACAGATGAGGTCTTGCTACATTGCCTGGGCTGGGCTCAAGTTTGTGGGCTCAAGCAGTTCTGTCTCAGCACCCCGGCCAGCACGGAGTACCAGCAGGCACTACCCTGCCTGACTTGTCCCTGCTCTTAAAATTATGTCATTAATAGGACAATTAACAAAATTGAAATGTAGTCAGGCGTGATGGCACACACATGTAATCCCAATGAGACAGGAGGATCACAAGTTCAAGGCCAGCTTCAACAGTTTAGCAAGAACCTCAGCAACTTAGCAAGATCCTGTCTCAATATGAAAAAATAATAATAATTGACTGTGGCTGTGGCTCAGTGGTTAAGTGTCTCTGGGTCCACTCCCCAGTATCGAAAAATGAAAACAAAACCTGATGTGGACTATAGAAAAAAGTATCAATGTTAAAGCTCCTAAATTTAAAAACTTCTGTGGTTATATATTACTTATTTCCTTAGGAAATATATATTAATGTATCAAGAAGCTTAAAATAAGACATATCCATTAAGGAAATTTTTGAAATATCAGAAATAAAGAAAAACAGCATCATTCCATTGTCTAACTGTTTAGGATCATTAATGAACACCCATTATAGAACAATGTGTAGTTTGGGGGTTGTAAATGGTTCACAAGTTACTTGACACTTTCATTTGCTTCTTCATGAGTCAACCAGTGGGCCTGGAGGATGAGACTTGGGAGTTGGGGCCAAGGCTGGAAGGTAGCAGGGGCAGGACCAATAAAGGAGATGCTATCATTGTGCCTTGGTGATAGAATCGGCCTTGAGGTTGGTCCAGAGCTAGGTGGGGAGATGGGGTACTGTGAAATACAAGAGCTAACTGGGCAAGGGTTGACCCTTAGCTAGGTGATGGGAAGGCAAAGCTATACCTGGAAACTGAGCCCATTCTCAGAAAGGACAAGAATCTCTAAGAATCTGTCTACACTACACCCTTCTATAGTTCTTCTCTGTGGTACCCTAACACTTTCATTCCTTAAGAAATCATCATTTTAATACTGGAAAGAGCCTTGGACTTCATCCTCATCCCCT